AGTGACTAATCAAAGATATTAACCTAATTTCAGTAACCACTGGAACAATTAACTCAATGAATGTATAATAGTAGATCAATCTGTAATTTTCCCAATTACCAGCAGAACAAGCTAAAGGGAAGAGCACAACCGTTGCTCATCCTTCAGAATATAATGGCCAGCCCAAAAAGGATTCTATTCTCTCCAATTTCAACTAAAGTTGCGTATTTGACATGGGCTTCCGTTTAAAACATTTTGTAGTCTTCTATTATGTTTGCTTAACGGCGCGGTAGGAACTACTATTCTTGGCAATGGCTCTTGTAGGCTTGAAGTGATACTGTAGTAAATATTGGGCCCGTGAGCCCAAGCCTAATCTTACTGGCGGATCAAAATTTTCATTGGGCTCACATATGTGGAATCAATTTCATTTTGTGTTTCAAGATCTCAATTCACAATTAGAGTTACAAGTTTTTCTTTCAAAAATCAAATATAATTAAAATTTTAAATATCAATAATAATATTATAAAATTAAATTAATTAACATACCCATCCAACTCACCTCACTTCCAAACTGTATGTATTTCCATAGCCTTCTATCTTTCTCCCTTCTCTCTTTATCTCTTTCTCTTTTATCTGTCATAGTGTTGCATATCGGTGGGAGCACACGACGAGAGGCTAGGTAGTGTTGGTAGCACAAAGCGACGACAGCGCTCTCGACAGGCTAGGTAGCGTTGGATAGCACGAAGTGGCAACGATGATCTCGTTGATAGCACATAGCGACAACAATGATTTCAATTGTAGCACGCAGTGGCGACGGCGATCTCAAGAGGTCACACGATGGGGTGGTGTTGCTTCTTGCGTTGGTAGCACATAGCAACGTTCTTTCGTTGTGTTTCTTTATTTGAGTGCAATCTGTGTTTCTTAATTTGTTTGTGATATGTTTTGGGGATAAATTTTGGTTACACAGGCGATGGTGGTGCCAACGTCAGCGACTTTGGGTTTTTTTTGGGTAAGATTGTGGTTGTGGTGTGGTAGAGATTGAACGCATCTTGTGGTTACGATGTGGTAGAGATTGAAGGCTTCTTGTGGTAGTGGCACTACAAGAAAAATGGCCTTTTACAATATTTAAATGGCAACATTCACCAATTGTATGTTGCTAAAAGAGGTTTATTGCAACATTTAGCAAATGCATGTTGCCATTGGTTGAGAAAATTAAGATTTAGCAACATTCTTTGAGTGGTTGTTACTAATATCTCCTTTCGCAACGTTCAAAGACAACCGTTTTTTTTTTTTTTTTTTTTTTTTTTTGGCAACGTGCATTGACCATTGCTATAGATGTTTTAGCAATGTTTAAAGAACGTTGCCGTTATTACTTTTGGCAACATGCATTGCCCATTGTAAAAACTTGTTAACGGCAATGTTCATGAACTAAACGTTGAACGTTCTTTGAAAGTTGTCATTAATTTCTTCGTAGTCAATTGACTAAATTCAACGTTAATTATAAAATCATATAAAACCCAAACCGACCCGACTCTGTTAGTTTGGTATAAACTCAAACCAGGCCTAGTTCCTTCCCCCTCTCTCAGAGGAATTAGTGGCTGTTGGCCGGTTGACCCGGCCAATTTTCCAAACTGGCCTTTGACCAATGAAAAAAAAAAGGCAAAATTATAAAAAATAGTGAAAACCAAAAAAAATGAAAAGAATCCCAATTTTACCCTCACTTGAAAATGAAGCAGAAGCCGAAGGAGACGGAAAAGTACTGTAGCACAGTCGACCCAGTCACCGACAAATAAGGAAAAACAGGAGACCCACTTGACCAAAATCCCTCTGAAGAAGGTAAGAATTTTTATACCAAAAAAAATCATGTTTATATTTTTATTTTTGGAAAAAAGTATGATTTTATACATATTTCTTAAGAAATACTTGTGTAAATGTGGAATTTTTGGTTGTTATTACTTGGGAAGGAGTGGAGATCGCCGAAAATGGAGTTTTCCGGCGATCTCCTCGACCGAAAATGTGGCAGACGGAAATGGCGACTGGGCATGCCGTCTGGGCAAGCCCAGCCGCCCAAGACGCCCAGACGGCCCAGTTAACTGGGCCGTCTGGGCGCCCTTTCCCAGTCAACTGGGCAACCCAGTTGACTCGATCACCTGGGCACAGTAGTACCCAGGTGGCCCAGTCAACTGGGTTGCCCAGTTGACTGGGCGCCTGTGCCCAACTGGGCAACTAGGCGCCCAGTCAACTGGGAAGCTGGGCCGGTCGGCCCAGTTGACCCAGTTGACTGGGCCGTCTGTTTTTTTTCTTTTTTTTTTTCGGTAATTATTGAAGTTAATTAAATAATTATTAATGGCTTATATTGTGTTATCTAATATGTAATTATTTATTTGAATTGCTTAATTTGAATGTTTATTATGTATTTAAAATTATTAGTAAATATAAGATGTAAATGTTATATTATTTATCGAAATATTTATTAGTTGCTAATTTAGATTAATTAATTATTTTATATTAAGTAATAGTAAAAAAATAAAAGAAATAATATAATATTAAATAATTAATATATCTAAAGAATTGAAAAAAATATTTAAACATTTGTAAAATAATAAAAATAAGCAATTAAATTTGAAAAGTAAATTAGCAAAAAAATTTATTTTTTGAAAAGCAATTAAAATAAATTTGTAAATATGAAATAAGCATTATGCGTAAAGAATTAAAATTAGTATTTAAACATTCATTAAAATTAAAAAACTAAATTAAGTGTTAGAAAAATAATTAAAATATTAAAATAAGCATTTAAAAACAAGTGTTACTAAATTAATTTTAAAAAATGAAATATTAAATAAGATATATATAAAGAATTTAAATACATAATTAAACATTTGTAAATAATTAAAATAAGTTTTAAAACTTCATTAAAAATAAATAACTAAATTAACTGTTAGAAAAAAAA